GGTCCAACCGGTCCATCGGACCAACAGGCCAGTTGGTCCAACCGGTCCATCGGACCAACAGGCCAGTTGGTCCAACCGGTCCATCGGACCAACAGGCCAGTTGGTCCAACCGGTCCATCGGACCAACAGGCCAGTTGGTCCAACCGGTCCATCGGACCAACAGGCCAGTTGGTCATACCGGTCCATTTGACCAACAGGCCAGTTGGTCCAACCGGTCCATCGGACCAACAGGCCAGTTGGTCCAAACCGGTCCATCTGACCAACAGGCCAGTTGGTCCAACCGGTCCATCGGACCAACAGGCCAGTTGGTCCAACCGGTCCATCGGACCAACAGGCTAGTTGGTCCAACCGGTCCATCGGACCAACAGGCCAGTTGGTCCAACCGGTCCATCGGACCAACAGGCCAGATTGTTCCAACCGGTCCATCGGACCAACAGGCTAGTTGGACCAACCGGTCCATCGGACCAACAGGCCAGTTGGTCCAACCGGTCCATCGGACCAACTGGCCAGTTGGTCCAACCGGTCCATCGGACCAACAGGCCTAGTTGGTCCAACCGGTCCATCGGACCAACAGGCCAGTTGGTCCAACCGGTCCATCGGACCAACAGGCCAGTTGGTCCAACCGGTCCATCGGACCAACAGGCCAGTTGGTCCAACCGGTCCATCGGACCAACAGGCCAGTTGGTCCAACCGGTCCATCGGACCAACAGGCCAGTTGGTCCAACCGGTCCATCGGACCAACAGGCCAGTTGGTCCAACCGGTCCATCTGACCAACAGGCCAGTTGGTCCAACCGGTCCATCGGACAACAGGCCAGTTGGTCCAACCGGTCCATCGGACCAACAGGCTAGTTGGTCCAACCGGTCCATCGGACCAACAGGCCAGTTGGTCCAACCGGTCCATCGGACCAACAGGCCAGTTGGTCCAACCGGTCCATCGGACCAACAGGCCAGTTGGTCCAACCGGTCCATCGGACCAACAGGCCAGTTGGTCCAACCGGTCCATCGGACCAACAGGCCAGTTTGGTCCAACCGGTCCATCGGACCAACAGGCCAGTTGGTCCAACCGGTCCATCGGACCAACAGGCCAGTTGGTCCAACCGGTCCATCGGACCAACAGGCCAGTTGGTCCAACCGGTCCATCGGACCAACAGGCCATGTTGGTCCAACCGGTCCATCGGACCAACAGGCCAGTTGGTCCAACCGGTCCATCGGACCAACAGGCCAGTTGGTCCAACCGGTCCATCGGACCAACAGGCCAGTTGGTCCAACCGGTCCATCGGACCAACAGGCTAGTTGGACCAACCGGTCCATCGGACCAACAGGCCAGTTGGTCCAACCGGTCCATCGGACCAACAGGGCCAGTTGGTCCAACCGGTCCATCGGACCAACAGGCCAGTTGGTCCAACGGTCCATCGGACCAACAGGCCAGTTGGTCCAACCGGTCCATCGGACCAACAGCCAGTTGTGTCCAACCGGTCCATCGGACCAACAGGCCAGTTGGTCCAACCGGTCCATCGGACCAACAGGCCAGTTGGTCCAACCGGTCCATCGGACCAACAGGCCAGTTGGTCCAACCGGTCCATTCGGACCAACAGGCCAGTTGGTCCAACCGGTCCATCGGACCAACAGGCCAGTTGGTCCAACCGGTCCATCGGACCAACAGGCCAGTTGGTCCAACCGGTCCATTCGGACCAAGCAGGCCAGTTGGTCCAACCGGTCCATCGGACCAACAGGCCAGTTGGTCCAACCGGTCCATCGGACCAACAGGCCAGTTGGTCCAACCGGTCCATCGGACCAACAGGCCAGTTGTCCAACCGGTCATCGGACCAACAGGCCAGTTGGTCCAACCGGTCCATCGGACCAACAGGCCAGTTGGTCCAACCGGTCCATCGGACCAACAGGCCAGTTGGTCCAACCGGTCCATCGGACCAACAGGCCAGTTGGTCCAACCGGTCCATCGGACCAACAGGCCAGTTGGTCCACCGGTCCATCGGACCAACAGGCCAGTTGGTCCAACCGGTCCATCGGACCAACAGGCCAGTTGGTCCAACCGGTCCATCGGACCAACAGGCCAGTTGGTCCAACCGGTCCATCGGACCAACAGGCCAGTTGGTCCAACCGGTCCATCGGACCAACAGGCCAGTTGGTCCAACCGGTCCATCGGACCAACAGGCCAGTTGGTCCAACCGGTCCATCGGACCAACAGGCCAGTTGGTCCAACCGGTCCATCGGACCAACAGGCTAGTTGGTCCAACCGGTCCATCGGACCAACAGGCCAGTTGGTCCAACCGGTCCATCGGACCAACAGGCCAGTTGGTCCAACCGGTCCATCGGACCAACAGGCCTAGTTGGTCCAACCGGTCCATCGGACCAACAGGCCAGTTGGTCCAACCGGTCCATCGGACCAACAGGCCAGTTGGTCCAACCGGTCCATCGGACCAACAGGCCAGTTGGTCCAACCGGTCCATCGGACCAACAGGCCAGTTGGTCCAACCGGTCCATCGGACCAACAGGCCAGTTGGTCCAACCGGTCCATTCGGACCAACAGGCCAGTTGGTCCAACCGGTCCATCGGACCAACAGGCCAGTTGGTCCAACCGGTCCATCGGACCAACAGGCCAGTTGGTCCAACCGGTCCATCGGACCAACAGGCCAGTTGGTCCAACCGGTCCATCGGACCAACAGGCCAGTTGGTCCAACCGGTCCATCGGACCAACAGGCCAGTTGGTCCAACCGGTCCATCGGACCAACAGGCCAGTTGGTCCAACCGGTCCATCGGACCAACAGGCCAGTTGGTCCAACCGGTCCATCGGACCAACAGGCCAGTTGGTCCAACCGGTCCATCGGACCAACAGGCCAGTTGGTCCAACCGGTCCATCGGACCAACAGGCCAGTGGTCAACGGTCCATCGGACCAACAGGCCAGTTGGTCCAACCGGTCCATCGGACCAACAGGCCAGTTGGTCCAACCGGTCCATCGGACCAACAGGCCAGTTGGTCCAACCGGTCCATCGGACCAACAGGCCAGTTGGTCCAACCGGTCCATCGGACCAACAGGCCAGTTGGTCCAACCGGTCCATCGGACCAACAGGCCAGTTGGTCCAACCGGTCCATCGGACCAACAGGCCAGTTGGTCCAACCGGTCCATCGGACCAACAGGCCAGTTGGTCCAACCGGTCCATCGGACCAACAGGCCAGTTGGTCCAACCGGTCCATCGGACCAACAGGCCAGTTGGTCCAACCGGTCCATCGGACCAACAGGCCAGTTGGTCCAACCGGTCCATCGGACCAACAGGCCAGTTGGTCCAACCGGTCCATCGGACCAACAGGCCAGTTGGTCCAACCGGTCCATCGGACCAACAGGCCAGTTGGTCCAACCGGTCCATCGGACCAACAGGCCAGTTGGTCCAACCGGTCCATCGGACCAACAGGCCAGTTGGTCCAACCGGTCCATCGGACCAACAGGCCAGTTGGTCCAACCGGTCCATCGGACCAACAGGCCAGTTGGTCCAACCGGTCCATCGGACCAACAGGCCAGTTGGTCCAACCGGTCCATCGGACCAACAGGCCAGTTGGTCCAACCGGTCCATCGGACCAACAGGCCAGTTGGTCCAACCGGTCCATCGGACCAACAGGCCAGTTGGTCCAACCGGTCCATCGGACCAACAGGCCAGGTTGGTCCAACCGGTCCATCGGACCAACAGGCCAGTTGGTCCAACCGGTCCATCGGACCAACAGGCCAGTGGTCCAACCGGTCCATTGACCAACAGGCCAGTTGGTCCAACCGGTCCATCGGACCAACAGGCCAGATGGTCCAACCGGTCCATCGGACCAACAGGCCAGTTGGTCCAACCGGTCCATCGGACCAACAGGCCAGTTGGTCCAACCGGTCCATCGGACCAACAGGCCTAGTTGGTCCAACCGGTCCATCGGACCAACAGGCCAGTTGGTCCAACCGGTCCATCGGACCAACAGGCCAGTTGGTCCAACCGGTCCATCGGACCAACAGGCCAGTTGGTCCAACCGGTCCCATCGGACCAACAGGCCAGTTGGTCCAACCGGTCCATCGGACCAACAGGCCAGTGGTCCAACCGGTCCATCGGACCAACAGGCCAGTTGGTCCAACCGGTCCATCGGACCAACAGGCCAGTTGTTCCAACCGGTCCATCGGACCAACAGGCTAGTTGGTCCAACCGGTCCATCGGACCAACAGGCCAGTTGGTCCAAACCGGTCCATCGGACCAACAGGCCAGTTGGTCCAACCGGTCCATCGGACCAACAGGCCAGTTGGTCCAACCGGTCCATCGGACCAACAGGCCAGTTGGTCCAACCGGTCCATCGGACCAACAGGCCAGTTGGTCCAACCGGTCCATCGGACCAACAGGCCAGTTGGTCAACCGGTCCATCGGACCAACAGGCCAGTTGGTCCAACCGGTCCATTTGACCAACAGGCCAGTTGGTCCAACCGGTCCATCGGACCAACAGGCCAGTTGGTCCAACCGGTCCATCGGACCAACAGGCCAGTTGGTCCAACCGGTCCATCGGACCAACTAGGCCAGTTGGTCCAACCGGTCCATCGGACCAACAGGCCAGTTGGTCCAAACCGGTCCATCGGACCAACAGGCCAGTTGGTCCAACCGGTCCATTCGGACCAACAGGCCAGTTGGTCCAACGGTCCATCGGACCAACAGGCCAGTTGGTCCAACCGGTCCATCGGACCAACAGGCCAGTTGGTCCAACCGGTCCATCGGACCAACAGGCCAGTTGGTCCAACCGGTCCATCGGAACCAACAGGCCAGTTGGTCCAACCGGTCCATCGGACCAACAGGCCAGTTGGTCCAAACCGGTCCATCGGACCAACAGGCCAGTTGGTCCAACCGGTCCATCGGACCAACAGGCCAGTTGGTCCAACCGGTCCATCGGACCAACAGGCCAGTTGGTCCAACCGGTCCATCGGACCAACAGGCCAGTTGGTCCAACCGGTCCATCGGACCAACAGGCCTAGTTGGTCCAACCGGTCCATCGGACCAACAGGCCAGTTGGTCCAACCGGTCCATCGGACCAACAGGCAGTTGGTCCAACCGGTCCATCGGACCAACAGGCCAGTTGGTCCAACCGGTCCATTCGGACCAACAGGCCAGTTGGTCCAACCGGTCCATCGGACCAACAGGCCAGTTGGTCCAACCGGTCCATCGGACCAACAGGCCAGTTGGTCCAACCGGTCCATCGGACCAACAGGCCAGTTGGTCCAACCGGTCCATCGGACCAACAGGCCAGTTGGTCCAACCGGTCCATCGGACCAACAGGCCAGTTGGTCCAACCGGTCCATCGGACCAACAGGCCAGTTGGTCCAACCGGTCCATCGGACCAACAGGCCAGTTGGTCCAACCGGTCCATCGACCAACAGGCCAGTTGGTCCAACCGGTCCATCGGACCAACAGGCCAGTTGGTCCAACCGGTCCATCGGACCAACAGGCCAGTTGGTCCAACCGGTCCATCTGACCAACAGGCCAGTTGGTCCAACCGGTCCATCGGACCAACAGGCCAGTTGGTCCAACCGGTCCATCGGACCAACAGGCCAGTTGGTCCAACCGGTCCATCGGACCAACAGGCCAGTTGGTCCAACCGGTCCATCGGACCAACAGGCCAGTTGGTCCAACCGGTCCATCGGACCAACAGGCCAGTTGGTCCAACCGGTCCATCGGACCAACAGGCCAGTTGGTCCAACCGGTCCATCGGACCAACAGGCCAGTTGGTCCAACCGGTCCATCGGACCAACAGGCCAGTTGGTCCAACCGGTCCATCGGACCAAACAGGCCAGTTGGTCCAACCGGTCCATCGGACCAACAGGCCAGTTGGTCCAACCGGTCCATCGGACCAATAGGCCAGTTGGTCCAACCGGTCCATCGGACCAACAGGCCAGTTGGTCCTAACCGGTCCATCGGACCAACAGGCCAGTTGGTCCAACAGGTCCATCGGACCAACAGGCCAGTTGTCCAACCGGTCCATCGGACCAACAGGCCAGTTGGTCCAACCGGTCCATCGGACCAACAGGCCAGTTGGTCCAACCGGTCCATCGGACCAACAGGCCAGTTGGTCCAACCGGTCCATCGGACCAACAGGCCAGTTGGTCCAACCGGTCCATCGGACCAACAGGCAGTTGGTCCAACCGGTCCATCGGACCAACAGGCAGTTGGTCCAATCCGCGTCCATCGACCAACAGGCCAGTTGGTCCATCCGGTCCATCGGACCAACAGGCCAGTTGGTCCAAACGGTCCATCGGAACCAACAGGCCAGTTGGTCCAACCGGTCCATTCGGACCAACAGGCCAGTTGGTCCAAACCGGTCCATCGGACCAACAGGCCAGTTGGTCCAACCGGTCCCCGCCACATCGGACCAACAGGCCAGTTGGTCCAACCGGTCCATCGGACCAACAGGCCAGTTGGTCCAACCGGTCCATCGGACCAACAGGCCAGTTGGTCCAACCGGTCCATCGGACCAACAGGCAGTTGGTCCAACGGTCCATCGGACCAACAGGCCAGTTGGTCCAACCGGTCCATCGGACCAACAGGCCAGTTGGTCCAACCGGTCCATCGGACCAACAGGCCAGTTGGTCCAACCGGTCCATCGGACCAACAGGCCAGTTGGTCCAACCGGTCCATCGGACCAACAGGCCAGTTGGTCCAACCGGTCCATCGGACCAACAGGCCAGTTGGTCCAACCGGTCCATCGGACCAACAGGCCAGTTGGTCCAACCGGTCCATCGGACCAACAGGCCAGTTGGTCCAACCGGTCCATCGGACCAACAGGCCAGTTGGTCCAACCGGTCCATCGGACCAACAGGCCAGTTGGTCCAACCGGTCCATCGGACCAACAGGCCAGTTGGTCCAACCGGTCCATCGGACCAACAGGCCAGTTGGTCCAACCGGTCCATCGGACCAACAGGCCAGTTGGTCCAGCCGGTCCATCGGACCAACAGGCCAGTTGGTCCAACCGGTCCATCGGACCAACAGGCCAGTTGGTCCAACCGGTCCATCGGACCAAGCCAGGGGCCAGTTGTCCAACCGGTCCATCGGACCAACAGGCCAGTTGGTCCAACCGGATCCATCGGACCAACAGCAGTGGCCAAACCGGTCCATTGGACCAACAGGCCAGTTGGTCCAACCGGTCCATCGGACCAACAGCCAGTTGGTCCAACCGGTCCATCGGACCAACAGGCCTGTTGGTCCAACCGGTCCATCGACCAACCAAGCTTAGTTGGATCCAACCGGTCCATCGGACCAACAGGCCAGTTGGTCCACCGGTCCATCGGACCAACAGGCCAGGTTGGTCCAATCGGTCCATCGGACCAACAGGCCTAGTTGGTCCAACCGGTCCATCGGACCAACAGGCCAGTTGGTCCAACCGGTCCATCGGACCAACAGGCCAGTTGGTCCAACCGGTCCATCGGACCAACAGGCCAGTTGGTCCAACCGGTCCATTCGGACCAACAGGCCAGTTGGTCCATACCGGTCCATTCGGGACCAACAGGCCAGTTGGTCCAACCGGTCCATCGGACCAACAGGCCAGTTGGTCCAACCGGTCCATCGGACCAACAGGCCAGTTGGTCCAACCGGTCCATCGGACCAACAGGCCAGTTGGTCCACCGGTCCATCGGACCAACAGGCCAGTTGGTCCAACCGGTCCATCGGACCAACAGGCCAGTTGGTCCAACCGGTCCATCGGACCAACAGGCCAGTTGGTCCAACCGGTCCATCGGACCAACAGGCCAGTTGGTCCAACCGGTCCATCGGACCAACAGGCCAGTTGGTCCACCGGTCCATCTGACCAACAGGCCAGTTGGTCCAACCGGTCCATCGGACCAACAGGCCAGTTGGTCCAACCGGTCCATCGGACCAACAGGCCAGTTGGTCCAACCGGTCCATCGGACCAACAGGCCAGTTGGTCCAACCGGTCCATCGGACCAACAGGCCAGTTGGTCCAACCGGTCCATCGGACCAACAGGCCAGTTGGTCCAACCGGTCCATCGGACCAACAGGCCAGTTGGTCCAACCGGTCCATCGGACCAACAGGCCTAGTTGTCCAACCGGTCCATCGGACCAACAGGCCAGTTGGTCCAACCGGTCCATCGGACCAACAGGCCAGTTGGTCCAACCGGTCCATCGGACCAACAGGCCAGTTGGTCCAACCGGTCCATCGGACCAACAGGCCAGTTGGTCCAACCGGTCCATCGGACCAACAGGCCAGTTGGTCCAACCGGTCCATCGGACCAACAGGCCAGTTGGTCCAACCGGTCCATCGGACCAACAGGCCAGTTGGTCCAACCGGTCCATCGGACCAACAGGCCAGTTGGTCCAACCGGTCCATCGGACCAACAGGCCAGTTGGTCCAACCGGTCCATCGGACCAACAGGCCTAGTTGGTCCAACCGGTCCATCGGACCAACAGGCCAGTTGGTCCAACCGGTCCATCGGACCAACAGGCCAGTTGGTCCAACCGGTCCATCGGACCAACAGGCCAGTTGGTCCAACCGGTCCATCGGACCAACAGGCCAGTTGGTCCAACCGGTCCATCGGACCAACAGGCCAGTTGGTCCAACCGGTCCATCTGACCAACAGGCCAGTTGGTCCAACGGGTCCATCGGACCAACAGGCCAGTTGGTCCAACCGGTCCATCGGACCAACAGGCCAGTTGGTCCAACCGGTCCATCGGACCAACAGGCCAGTTGGTCCAACCGGTCCATCGGACCAACAGGCCTAGTTGGTCCACCGGTCCATCTGGACCAACAGGCCAGTTGGTCCAACCGGTCCATCGGACCAACAGGCCAGTTGGTCCAACCGGTCCATCGGACCAACAGGCCAGTTGGTCCAACCGGTCCATCGGACCAACAGGCCAGTTGGTCCAACCGGTCCATCGGACCAACAGGCCAGTTGGTCCAACCGGTCCATCGGACCAACAGGCCAGTTGGTCCAACCGGTCCATCGGACCAACAGGCCTAGTTGGTCCAAACCGGTCCATCGGACCAACAGGCCAGTTGGTCCAATCCGGTCCATCGGACCAACAGGCCTAGTTGGTCCAACCGGTCCATCGGACCAACAGGCCAGTTGGTCCAACCCGGTCCATCGGACCAACAGGCCTGTTGGTCCAACCGGTCCATCGGACCAACAGGCCAGTTGGTCCAACCGGTCCATCGGACCAACAGGCCAGATTGGTCCAACCGGTCCATCGGACCAACAGGCCTAGTTGGTCCAACCGGTCCATCGGACCAACAGGCCTAGTTGGTCCAACCGGTCCATCGGACCAACAGGCCAGTTGGTCCAACCGGTCCATCGGACAACCAGGCCAGTTGGTCAGGCCAGTTGGTCCAACCGGTCCATCTGACCAACAGGCCAGTTGGGGGGTCCAACCGGTCCATCGGACCAACAGGCTAGTTGGACCAACCGGTACATCGGACCAACAGGCCAGTGGTCCAACCGGTCCATCGGACCAACAGGCAGATGGTCCAACCGGTCCATCGGACCAACAGGCCAGTTGGTCCAACCGGTCCATCTGGACCAACAGGCCAGTTGGGTCCAAGCCGGTCCATTCGGACCAACAGGCCAGTTGGTCCAACCGGTCCATCGGACCAACAGGCCAGTTGGTCCAAACGGTCCATGGACCAACAGGCCAGTTGGTCCAACGGTCCAATCGGAACCAACAGGCTAGTTGGTCAACCGGTCCATCGGACCAACAGGCCAGTTGGTCCAACCGGTCCATCGGACCAACAGGCCAGTTGGTCCAAACGGTCCATCGGACCAACAGGCTAGTTGGTCCAACCGGTCCATCGGACCAACAGGCCAGTTTGTCCAACCGGCCATCGGACCAACAGGCCAGTGGTCCAACCGGTCCATCGGACCAACAGGCCAGTGGTCCAACCGGTCCATCGGACCAACAGGCCAGTTGGTTCCAACCAGGTCCATCGGACCAACAGGCCAGTTGGTCCAACCGGTCCATCTGACCAACAGGCCAGTTGGTCCAACCGGTCCATCGGGACCAACAGGCCAGTTGGTCCATCCGGTCCATCTGACCAACAGGCCAGTTGGTCCAACCGGTCCATCTGACCAACAGGCCAGTTGGTCCAACCGGTCCATCGGACCAACAGGCCAGTTGGTCCAACCGGTCCATTTGACCAACAGGCCAGTTGGTCCAACCGGTCCATCGGACCAACAGGCCAGTTGGTCCAACCGGTCCATCGGACCAACAGGCCAGTTGGTCCAACCTGTCCATCGGACCAACAGGCCAGTTTGGTCCAACCGGTCCATCGGACCAACAGGCCAGTTGGTCCAACCGGTCCATCGGACAACAGGCCAGTTGGTCCAACCGGTCCATCGGCACCAACAGGCCTAGTTGGTCCAGCCGGTCCATCGGACCAACAGGCCAGTTGGTCCAACCGGTCCATCGGACCAACAGGCCTGTTGGTCCAACCGGTCCATCGGACCAACAGGCCTGTTGGTCCAGCCGGTCCATCGGACCAACAGGCCAGTTGGTCCAACCGGTCCATTGGACCAACAGGCCAGTTGGTCCAAGCCGGTCCATCGGACCAACAGGCCAGTTGGTCCAATCCGGTCCTAGTCTGGACCAAAGGCCAGTTGGGTCATGGACCAAGCCGTTGGTCCAACCGGTCCATCGGACCAACAGGCCAGCTTGGTCCAACCGGTCCATCGGACCAACAGGCCAGTTGGTCCAACCGGTCCATCGGACCAACAGGCCAGTTGGTACCAACCGGTCCATCGGACCAACAGGCCAGTTGGTCCAACCGGTCCATCGGACCAACAGGCCAGTATGGTCCAACCGGTCCATCGGACCAACAGGCCAGTTGGTCCCAACCGGTCCATCGGACCAACAGGCCAGTTGGTCCAACCGGTCCATCGGACCAACAGGCCAGTTGGTCCAACCGGTCCATCGGACCAACAGGCCAGTTGTCCAACCGGTCCATCGGACCAACAGGCCAGTTGGTCCAACCGGTCCATCGGACCAACAGGCCAGTTGGTCCAACCGGTCCATCGGACCAACAGGCCAGTTGGTCCAAACCGGTCCATCGGACCACAGGCCAGTTGGTCCAACCGGTCCATCGGACCAACAGGCCAGTTGGTCCAACCGGTCCATCGGACCAACAGGCCAGTTGGTCCAACCGGTCCATCGGACCAACAGGCCAGTTGGTTCCAACCGGTCCATCGGACAACAGGCAGTTGGTCCAACCGGTCCATCGGACCAACAGGCCAGTTGGTCCAACCGGTCCATCGGACCAACAGGCCAGTTGGTCCAACGGTCCATCGGACCAACAGGCCAGGTTGGTCCAACCGGTCCATCGGACCAACAGGCCAGTTGGTCCAACCGGTCCATCGGACCAACAGGCCAGTTGGTCAACCGGTCCATCGGACCAACAGGCCAGTTGGTCAACCGGTCCATCGGACCAACAGGCCAGTTGGTCCAACCGGTCCATCGGACCAACAGGCAGTTGGTCCAACCGGTCCATCGGACCAACAGGCCAGTTGGTCCAACCGGTCCATCGGACCAACAGGCCAGTTGGTCCCAACCGGTCCATCGGACCAACAGGCCAGTTGGTCCAACCGGTTCCATCGGACCAACAGGCCTAGTTGGTCCAACCGGTCCATCGGACCAACAGGCCAGTTGGTCCAACCTGGTCCATTCGGACCAACAGGCCAGTTGGTCCAACCGGTCCATCGGACCAACAGGCCAGTTGGTCCAACCGGTCCATCGGACCAACAGGCCAGTTGGTCCAACCGGTCCATCGGACCAACAGGCCAGTTGGTCCAACCGGTCCATCGGACCAACAGGCCAGTTGGTCCAACCGGTCCATCGGACCAACAGGCCAGTTGGTCCAACCGGTCCATCGGACCAACAGGCCAGTTGGTCCAACCGGTCCATCGGACCAACAGGCCAGTTGGTCCAACCGGTCCATCGGACCAACAGGCCAGTTGGTCCAACCGGTCCATCGGACCAACAGGCCAGTTGGTCCAACCGGTCCATCGGACCAACAGGCCAGTTGGTCCAACCGGTCCATCGGACCAACAGGCCAGTTGGTCCAACCGGTCCATCGGACCAACAGGCCAGTTGGTCCAACCGGTCCATCGGACCAACAGGCCAGTTGGTCCAACCGGTCCATCGGACCAACAGGCCAGTTGGTCCAACCGGTCCATCGGACCAACAGGCCAGTTGGTCCAACCGGTCCATCGGACCAACAGGCCAGTTGGTCCAACCATGATCCAACCGGTCCATCGGACCAACAGGCCAGTTGGTCCAACCGGTCCATCGGACCAACAGGCCAGTTGGTCCAACCGGTCCATCGGACCAACAGGCCAGTTGGTCCAACCGGTCCATCGGACCAACAGGCCAGTTGGTCCAACCGGTCCATCGGACCAACAGGCCAGTGGTCCAACCGGTCCATCGGACCAACAGGCCAGTTGGTCCAACGGTCCATCGGACCAACAGGCCAGTTGGTCCAACGGTCCATCGGACCAACAGGCCAGTTGGTCCAACCGGTCCATCGGACCAACAGGCCAGTTGGGTCCAACCGGTCCATCGGACCAACAGGCCAGTTGGTCCAACCGGTCCATCGGACCAACAGGCCAGATGGTCCAACCGGTCCATCGGACCAACAGGCCAGTTGGTCCAATCCGGTCCATCGGCCAACAGGCCAGTTGGTCCAACCGGTCCATTGGACCAACAGGCAGTTGGTCCAATCGGTCCATCGGACCAACAGGCCAGTTGGTCCAACCGGTCCATCGGACCAACAGGCCAGTATGGTCCAACCGCGTCCATCGGACCAACAGGCCAGTGGTCCAACCGGTCCATCGGACCAACAGGCCAGTTGGTCCAACCGGTCCATCGGACCAACAGGCCAGTTGGTCCAACCGGTCCATCGGACCAACAGGCCAGTTGGTCCAACCGGTCCATCGGACCAACAGGCCAGTTGGTCCAACCGGTCCATCGGACCAACAGGCCAGTTGGTCCAACCGGTCCATCGGACCAACAGGCCAGTTGGTCCAACCGGTCCATCGGACCAACAGGCCAGTTGGTCCAACCGGTCCATCGGACCAACAGGCCAGTTGGTCCAACCGGTCCATCGGACCAACAGGCCAGTTGGTCCAACCGGTCCATCGGACCAACAGGCCAGTTGGTCCAACCGGTCCATCGGACCAACAGGCCAGTTGGTCCAACCGGTCCATCGGACCAACAGGCCAGTTGGTCCAACCGGTCCATCGGACCAACAGGCCAGTTGGTCCAACCGGTCCATCGGACCAACAGGCCAGTTGGTCCAACCGGTCCATCGGACCAACAGGCCAGTTGGTCCAACCGGTCCATCGGACCAACAGGCCAGTTGGTCCAACCGGTCCATCGGACCAACAGGCCAGTTGGTCCAACCGGTCCATCGGACCAACAGGCCAGTTGGTCCAACCGGTCCATCGGACCAACAGGCCAGTTGGTCCAACCGGTCCATCGGACCAACAGGCCAGTTGGTCCAACCGGTCCATCGGACCAACAGGCCAGTTGGTCCAACCGGTCCATCGGACCAACAGGCCAGTTGGTCCAACCGGTCCATCGGACCAACAGGCCAGTTGGTCCAACCGGTCCATCGGACCAACAGGCCAGTTGGTCCAACCGGTCCATCGGACCAACAGGCCAGTTGGTCCAACCGGTCCATCGGACCAACAGGCCAGTTGGTCCAACCGGTCCATCGGACCAACAGGCCAGTTGGTCCAACCGGTCCATCGGACCAACAGGCCAGTTGGTCCAACCGGTCCATCGGACCAACAGGCCAGTTGGTCCAACCGGTCCATCGGACCAACAGGCCAGTTGGTCCAACCGGTCCATCGGACCAACAGGCCAGATTGGTCCAACCGGTCCATCGGACCAACAGGCCAGTTGGTCCAACCGGTCCATCGGACCAACAGGCCAGATGGTTCCAACCGGTCCATCGGACCAACAGGCCAGTTGGTCCAACCGGTCCATCGGACCAACAGGCCAGTTGGTCCAACCGTTTCCATCTGACCAACATTGCCAGTTGGTCCAACCGGTCCATCGGACCAAAGGCCAGTTGGTCCAACCGGTCCATCGGACCAACAGGCCAGATTGGTCCAACCGGTCCATCGGACCAACAGGCCAGATTGGTCCAACCGGTCCATCGGACCAACAGGCCTAGTTGGTACCAACCGGTCCATCGGACCAACAGGCCAGTTGGTCCAACCGGTCCATCGGACCAACAGGCCAGTTGGTCCAACGGTCCATCGGACCAACCGGCCAGATGGTCCAACCGGTTCCATCGGACCAACAGGCCAGTTGGTCCCAACCGGTCCATCGGACCAACAGAGCCAGTTGGTCCAACCGGTTCCATCGGACCAACAGGCCAATGGTCCAACCGGTCCATCGGACCAACAGGCCAGTTGGTCCAACCGGTCCATCGGACCAACAGGCCAGTTGGTCCAACCGGTCCATCGTTGACCAACAGGCCAGTTGGTCCAACCGGTCCATCGGACCAACAGGCCAGATGGTCCAACGGTCCATCGGACCAACAGGCCAGTTGGTCCAACCGGTCCATCGGACCAAACAGGCAGTTGGCCAACCGGTCCATCGGACCAACAGGCCAGTTGGTCCAACCGGTCCATCGGACCAACAGGCCAGATGGTCCACCGGTTCCATCGGACCAACAGGCCAGATGGTCCACCGGTCCATTCGGACCAACAGGCTAGTGGACCAACCGGTCCATCGGACCAACAGGCAGTTGGTCCAACCGGTCCATCGGACCAACAGGCCAGTTGGTCCAACCGGTCATGGACCAACAGGCCAGTTGGTCCAACCGGTCCATCGGACCAACAGGCCAGTTGGTCCAACCGGTCCATCGGACCAACAGGCCAGTTGGTCCATCCGGTCCATGGACCAACAGGCAGTTGGACCACCGGTCCCTCGGACCAACAGGCCAGTCTGCTTCCAACCGGTCCATCGGACCAACAGGCTACAGTGGTCCAACCGGTCCATCGGACCAACAGGCCAGTATGGTCCAACCGCCTCCATCGGACCAACAGGCAGTTGGATCCAACCGGTCCATCGGACCACACAGGCCAGATTGGTCCAACCGGTCCATCGGACCAACATGGCCAGTTGGTCCAACCGGTCCATCGGACCAACAGGCCAGTTGGTCCAACCGGTCCATCGGACCAACAGGCCAGTTGGTCTCAACCGGTCCATCGGACCAACAGGCCAGTTGGTCCAACCGGTCCATCGGACCAACAGGCCAGTTGGTCCAACCGGTCCATCGGACCAACAGGCCAGTTGGTCCAACGGTCCATCGGACCAACAGGCCGTTGGGTCCAACGGTCCATCGGACCAACAGGCCAGTTGGTCCAACCGGTCCATCGGACCAACAGGCCAGTTGGTCCAACCAGGTCCATTCGGATCAACAGGGCCAGTTGGTCACGGTCCATCTGACCAAGGCCAGTTGGTCCAACCGGTCCATCGGACCAACAGGCCAGTTGGTCCAACCGGTCCATCGGACCAACAGGCCAGTTGGTCCAACCGGTCCATCGGACCAACAGGCCAGTTGGTCCACCGGTCCACGGACCAACAGGCCTAGTTGGTCCAACCGGTCCATCGGACCAACAGGCCAGTATGGTCCAACCGTCCATCGGGACCAACAGGCCAGTTGGTCCAACCGGTCCATCGGACCAACAGGCCAGTTGGTCCAACCGGTCCCATCGGACCAACAGGCCAGTTGGTCCAACCGGTCCATCGGACCAACAGGCCAGTTGGTCCAACCGGTCCATCGGACCAACAGGCCAGTGGTCCAACCGGTCCATCGGACCAACAGGCCAGTTGGTCCAACCGGTCCATCGGACCAACAGGCAGTTGGTCCAACCGGTCCATCGGACCAACAGGCCAGTGGTCCAACCGGTCCATCGGACCAACAGGCCAGTTGGTCCAACCGGTCCATCGGACCAACAGGCCAGTTGGTCCAACCGGTCCATCGGACCAACAGGCCAGTTGGTCCAACCGGTCCATCGGACCAAACAGGCCAGTTGGTCCAACCGGTCCATCGGACCAACAGGCCAGTTGGTTCCAACCGGTCCATCGGACCAACAGGCCAGTGGTCCAACCGGTCATCGGACCAACAGGCCAGTTGGTCCAACGGTCCATCGGACCAACAGGCCAGTTGGTCCAACCGGTCCATCGGACCAACAGGCCAGTTGGTTCCAACCGGTCCATCGGACCAACAGGCCAGTTGGTCCAACCGGTCCATCGGACCAACAGGCCAGTGGTCAACCGGTCCATCGGACCAACAGGGCCAGTTGGTCCAACCGGTCCATCGGACCAACAGGCCAGTTGGTCCAACCGGTCCATCTGACCAACAGGCCAGTTGGTCCAACCGGTCCATCGGACCAACAGGCCAGTTGGTCCAACCGGTCCATCGGACCAACAGGGCCTAGTTGGTCCAACCGGTCCATCAGACCAACAGGCCAGTTGTCCAACGGTCCATCGGACCAACAGGCCAGATTGGTCCAACCGGTCCATCGGACCAACAGGCCTAGTTGGTCCAACCGGTCCATCGGACCAACAGGCCCGTTGGTCCAATCCGGTCCATCGGACCAACAGGCCAGTTGGTCCAACCGGTCCATCGGACCAACAGGCCAGTTGGTCCAACGGTCCATCTGACCAACAGGCAGTGGTCCAACCGGTCCGTCGGACCAACAGGCCAGTTGGTCCAACCGGTCCATCGGACCAACAGGCCAAGTTGGTCAACCGGTCCATCGGACCAACAGGCCAGTTGGTCCAACCCGTCCATCGGAACCAACAGGCCAGTTGGTCCAACCGGTCCATCGGACCAACAGGCCAGTTGGTCCAACCGGTCCATCGGACCAACAGGCTAGTTGGTCCAACCGGTCCATCGGAACCAACAGGCCAGTGGTCCAACCGATCCATCGGACCAACAGGCCAGTTGGATCCAAACGGTCCGTCGGACCAAACAGGCCAGATGGTCCAACGGTCCATCGGACCAACAGGCCAGTTGGTCCAACCGGTCCATCGGACCAACAGGCCAGTTGGTCCAACCGGTCCATCGGACCAACAGGCCAGTTGGTCCAACCGGTCCATCGGACCAACAGGCCAGTTGGTCCAACCGGTCCATCGGACCAACAGGCCAGATGGTCCAACCGGTCCATCGGACCAACAGGCCAAGTTGGTCCAACCGGTCCATCGGACCAACAGGCCAGTTGGGTCCAACGGTCCATCGGACCAACAGGCCAGTTGGTCCAACCGGTCCATCGGACCAACAGGCCAGTTGGTCCAACCGGTCCATCGGACCAACAGGCCAGTTGGTCCAACCGGTCCATCGGACCAACAGGCCAGTGGTCCAACCGGTCCATCGACCAACAGGCCAGTTGGTCCAACCGGTCCATCGGACCAACAGGCCAGTGGTCCAACCGGTCCATCGGACCAACAGGCCAGTTGGTCCAACCGGTCCATCGGACCAACAGGCCAGTTGGTCCAACCGGTCCATCGGACCAACAGGCCAGTTGGTCCAACCGGTCCATCGGACCAACAGGCCAGTTGGTCCAACCGGTCCATCGGACCAACAGGCCAGTTGGTCCAACCGGTCCATCGGACAACAGGCCAGTTGGTTCCAACCGGTCCATCGGACCAACAGGCCAGTTGGTCCAACCGGTCCATCGGACCAACAGGCCAGTTGGTCCAACCGGTCCATCGGACCAACAGGCCAGTTGGTCCAACCGGTCCATCGGACCAACAGGCCAGTTGGTCCAACCGGTCCATCGGCCCACCGGCCCCCCCTCCTAACCCGGTCCATCGGACCAACAGGCCAGATGGTCCAACCGGTCCATCGGACCAACAGGCCAGATGGTCCAACCGGTCCATCGGACCAACAGGCCAGTAGGTCCAACCGGTCCATCGGACCAACAGGCCAGTGGTCCAACCGGTCCATCGGACCAACAGGCCAGTTGGTCCAACCGGTCCATCGGACCAACAGGCCAGTTGGTCCAACCGGTCCATCGGACCAACAGGCCAGTTGGTCCAACCGCGTCCATCGGACCAACAGGCCAGTTGGTCCAACCGGTCCATCGGACCAACAGGCCAGTGGTCCAACCGGTCCATCGGACCAACAGGCCAGTTGGTCCAACCGGTCCATCGACCAACAGGCCAGTTGGTCCAACCGGTCCATCGGACCAACAGGCCAGTTGGTCCAACCGGTCCATCGGACCAACAGGCCAGTTGGTCCAACCGGTCCATCGGACCAACAGGCCAGTTGGTCCAACCGGTCCATCGGACCAACAGGCCAGTTGGTCCAACCGGTCCATCGGACCAACAGGCCAGATGGTCCAACCGGTCCATCGGACCAACAGGCCAGTTGGTCCAACCGGTCCATCGGACCAACAGGCCATGTTGGTCCAACCGGTCCATCGGACCAACAGGCCAGTTGGTCCAACCGGTCCATCGGACCAACAGGCCAGTTGGTCCAACCGGTCCATCGGACAACAGGCCAGTTGGTTCCACCGGTCCATCGGACCAACAGGCCAGTTGGTCCAACCCGGTCCATCGGACCAACAGGCCAGTTGGTCCAACCGGTCCATCGGACCAACAGGCCAGTTGGTCCAACCGGTCCATCGGACCAACAGGCCAGTTGGTTCCAACCGGTGTCCATGCGGACCAACAGGCCAGTTGGTCCAACCGGTCCATCGGACCAACAGGCAGTGGTCCAACCGATCCATCGACCAACAGGGCCAGTTGATCCAACCGGTCCGTCGGACCAACAGGCCAGATGGTCCAAACGGTCCGTCGGACCAACGGCCAGTTGGTCCAACCGGTCCGTCGGACCAACAGGCAAGTTGGTCCAACCGGTCCATCGGACCAACAGGCCAGTTGGTCCAACCGGTCCATCGGACCAACAGGCCAGTTGGTCCTACCGGTCCATCTGGACCAACAGGCCAGTTGGTCCAACCGGTCCATCGGACCAACAGGCCAGTTGGTCCAACCGGTCCATCGACCAACAGGCCAGTTGGTCCAACCGGTCCATCGGACCAACAGGCCAGTTGGTCCAACCGGTCCATCGGACCAACAGGCCAGTTGGTCCAACCGGTCATCGGACCAACAGGCCAGTTGGTCCAACCGGTCCATCGGACCAACAGGCCAGTTGGTCCAACCGGTCCATCGGACCAACAGGCCAGTTGGTCCAACCGGGTCCATCGGACCAACAGGCCAGTTTGTCTAACCGGTCCATCGGACCAACAGGCCAGTTGGTCCAACCGGTCCATCGGACCAACAGGCCAGTTGGTCCAACCGGTCCATCTGACCAACAGGCCAGTTGGTCCAACCGGTCCATCGGACCAACAGGCCAGTTGGTCCAACCGGTCCATCGGACCAACAGGCAGTTGGTCCAACCGGTCCATCGGACCAACAGGGCCAGTTGGTCAACGGTCCATCGGACCAACAGGCAGTGGTCCAACCCGGTCCATCGGACCAACAGGCCCTGTTGGTCCAACCGGTCCATCGGACCAACAGGCCAGTTGGTCCAACCGGTCCATCGGACCAACAGGCCATGTCGGTCCAAGCCGTGTCGTCCATCGGACCTAAACAGTGCCAGCTTGGTCCAACCGGTCCATCAGCACCAACAGGCCAGTTGTCCAACCGGTCCACGGACCAACAGGCCAGATGGTCCAACCGGTCCATCGGACCAACAGGCCAGTTGGTCCTAACCGGTCCATTCGGACCAACAGGCCAGTTGGTCCAACGGTCCATCGGACCAACAGGCCAGTTGGTCAACCGGTCCATCGGACCAACAGGCCAGTTGGTCCAACCGTCCATCGGACCAACAGGCCAGTGGTCCAACCGGTCCATCGGACCAACAGGCTAGTTGGTCCAACCGGTCCATCGACCAACAGGCCAGTTGGTCCAACCGGTCCATCGGACCAACAGGCCAGTTGGTCCAACCGGTCCATCTTGGACCAACTAGGCAGTTGGTCCAACCGGTCCATCGGACCAACAGGCCAGTTGTCCAACCGGTCCATCGGACCAACAGGCCAGTGTTGGTCCAACCGGTCCATCGGACCCAACGAGGCCAGTTGGTCCAACCGGTCCATCGACCAACAGGCCAGTTGGTCTAACCGGTCCATCGGACCAACAGGCCAGTTGGTCCAACCGCGGTCCATTCGGACCAACAGGCCAGTTGGTCCAACCGGTCCATCGGACCAACAGGCCAGTTGGTCCAACCGGTCCATCGGACCAACAGGCAGTTGGTCCAACCGGTCCATCGGACCAACAGGCCAGTTTGTCCAACCGGTCCATGGACCAACAGGCCAGTTGGTCCAACCGGTCCATCGGACCAACAGGCCAGTTGGTCCATACCGGTCCATTTGACCAACAGGCCAGTTGGTCCAACCGGTCCATGGACCAACAGGCCAGTTGGTCCACCGGTCCATCGGACCAACAGGCCAGTTGGTCCAAACCGGTCCATCGGACCAACAGGCCAGTTTGGTCCAACCGGGTCCATCGGACCAACAGGCCAGTTGGTCCAACCGGTCCATCGGACCAACAGGCCAGTTGGCTCCAACCGGTCCATCGGACCAACAGGCCAGTTGGTCCAAACGGTCCGTCGGACCAACAGGCAGTTGGTCCAACCGGTCCATTCGGACCAACAGGCCAGTTGGTCCAACCGGTCCATCGGACCAACAGGCCAGTTGGTCCAATCCGGTCCATCGGACCAACAGGCCAGTTGGTTCCACCGGCCATCGGACCAACAGGCCAGTTGGTCAACGGTCCATCGGACCAACAGGCCAGTTGGTCCAACCGGTCCATCGACCAACAGGCCAGTTGGTCCAACCGGTCCATCGGACCAAACAGGCCAGTTGGTCCAACCGGTCCATCGGACCAACAGGCCAGTTTGTCCAACCGGTCCATTCGGACCAACAGGCCAGTTGTCAACCGGTCCATCGGACCAACAGGCAGTTGGTCCAACCGGTCCATCGGACCAACAGGCCAGTTGGTCCAACCGGTCCATCGGACCAACAGGCCAAGTTGGTCCAACCGGTCCATCGGACCAACAGGCCAGTTGGTCCAACCGGTCCATCGGACCAACAGGCCTAGTTGGTCCAACCGGTCCATCGACCAACAGGCCAGTTGGTCCAAACGGTCCATCGGACCAACAGGCCAGTTGGTCCAACCGGTCCATCGGACCAACAGGCTAGTTGGTCCAACCGGTCCATCGGACCAACAGGCCAGTTGGTCCAACCGGTCCATCGGACCAACAGGCCAGTATGGTCCAACCGGTCCATCGGACCAACAGGCCTAGTTGGTCCAACCGGTCCATCGGACCAACAGGCCAGTTGGTTCCAACCGGTCCATCGGACCAACAGGCCAGTTGGTCCAACCGGTCCATCGGACCAACAGGCCAGTTGGTCCAACCGGTCCATCGGACCAACAGGCCAGTTGGTCCAACCGGTCCATCGGGACCAACAGGCCAGTTGGTCCAACCGGTCCATCGGACCAACAGGCCAGTTGGTCCAACCGGTTCCATCGGACCAACAGGCCAGTTGGTCCAACCGGTCCATCGGACCAACAGGCCAGTTGGTCCAACCGGTCCATCGGACCAACAGGCCAGATTGGTCCAACGGTCCACTTGGAACCCAACAGGCCAAGTTGGTCCAACCGGTCCATTTGGACCAACAGGCCAGTTGGTCCAAAGGTCCATCGGACCAACAGGCCTAGTTGGTCCAACCGGTCCATCGGACCAACAGGCCAGTTGGTCCCAACCGGTCCATCGGACCAACAGGCCAGTTGGTCCAACCGGTCCATCGGACCAACAGGCCAGTTGGTCCAACCGGTCCATCGGACCAACAGGCCAGTTGGTCCAACCGGTCCATCGGACCAACAGGCCAGTTGGTCCAACCGGTCCATTCGGACCAACAGGCCAGTTGGTCCAACCGGTCCATCGGACCAACAGGCCAGTTGGTCCAACCGGTCCATCGGACCAACAGGCAGTTGGTCCAACCGGTCCATCGGACCAACAGGCCAGTTGGTCCAACCGGTCCATCGGACCAACAGGCCAGTTGGTCCAACCGGTCCATCTGACCAACAGGCCAGTTGGTCCAACCGGTCCATCGGACCAACAGGCCAGTTGGTCCAACCGGTCCATCGGACCAACAGGCCAGTTGGTCCATACCGGTCCATTGGACCAACAGGCCAGTTGGTCCAACCGGTCCATCGGACCAACAGGCCAGTTGGTCCAACGGTCGGTCCATCGGACCAACAGGCCAGTTGGTCCAACCGGTCCATCGGACCAACAGGCCAGTTGGTCCAACCGGTCCATCGGACCAACAGGCCAGTTGGTCCAACCGGTCCATCGGACCAACAGGCCAGTTGGTCCAACCGGTCCATCGGACCAACAGGCCAGTTGGTCCAACCGGTCCATCGGACCAACAGGCCAGTTGGTCCAACCGGTCCATCGGACCAACAGGCCAGTTGGTCCAACCGGTCCATCGGACCAACAGGCCAGTTGGTCCAACCGGTCCATCGGACCAACAGGCCAGTTGGTCCAACCGGTCCATCGGACCAACAGGCCAGTTGGTCCAACCGGTCCATCGGACCAACAGGCCAGTTGGTCCAACCGGTCCATCGGACCAACAGGCCAGTTGGTCCAACCGGTCCATCGGACCAACAGGCCAGTTGGTCCAACCGGTCCATCGGACCAACAGGCCAGTTGGTCCAACCGGTCCATCGGACCAACAGGCCAGTTGGTACCAACCGGTCCATCGGACCAACAGGCCAGTTGTCCAACCGGTCCATCGGACCAACAGGGCCAGATGGTCTCAACGGTTCCATCGGACCAACAGGCCAGTTGGTCCAACCGGTCCATCGGACCAACAGGCCAGTTGGTCAACCGGTCCATGCGGACCAACAGGCCAGTTGGTCCAACCGGTCCATCGGACAAAAGACCAATTGGTCCAACCGGTCCATCGGACCAACAGGCCTGTTGGTCCAACCGGTCCATCGGACTAACAGGCCAGTTGGTCCAACCGGTCCATCGGACCAACAGGCCAGTTGGTCCAACCGGTCCATCGGACCAACAGGCCAGATGGTCCAACCGGTCCATCGGACCAACAGGCCAGTTGGTCCAACCGGTCCATCGGACCAACAGGCCAGTTGTTCCAACCGGTCCATCGGACCACAGCAAGTTGGTCCAACCGGTCCATCGGGACCAACAGGCCAGATGGTCCAACCGGGTCCACGGACCAACAGGCTAGTGGACCAACCGTCCATCGGACCAACAGGCCAGTTGGTCCAACCGGTCCATCGGACCAACAGGCCAGTTGGTCCAGCCGGTCCATCGGACCAACAGGCCAGTTGGTCCAACCGTCCATCGGACCAACAGGCCAGTTGGTCCAACCGGTCCATCGGACCAACAGGCCAGTTGGTCCAACCGGTCCATCGGACCAACAGGCCAGTTGGTCCAACCGGTCCATCGGACCAACAGGCCAGTTGGTCCAACCGGTCCATCGGACCAACAGGCCAGTTGGTCCAACCGGTCCATCGGACCAACAGGCCAGTTGGTCCAACCGGTCCATCGGACCAACAGGCCAGTTGGTCCAACCGGTCCATCGGACCAACAGGCCAGTTGGTCCAACCGGTCCATCGGACCAACAGGCCAGTTGGTCCAACCGGTCCATCGGACCAACAGGCCAGTTGGTCCAACCGGTCCATCGGACCAACAGGCCAGTTGGTCCAACCGGTCCATCGGACCAACAGGCCAGTTGGTCCAACCGGTCCATCGGACCAACAGGCCAGTTGGTCCAACCGGTCCATCGGACCAACAGGCCAGTTGGTCCAACCGGTCCATCGGACCAACAGGCCAGTTGGTCCAACCGGTCCATCGGACCAACAGGCCAGTTGGTCCAACCGGTCCATCGGACCAACAGGCCAGTTGGTCCAACCGGTCCATCGGACCAACAGGCCAGTTGGTCCAACCGGTCCATCGGACCAACAGGCCAGTTGGTCCAACCGGTCCATCGGACCAACAGGCCAGTTGGTCCAACCGGTCCATCGGACCAACAGGCCAGTTGGTCCAACCGGTCCATCGGACCAACAGGCCAGTTGGTCCAACCGGTCCATCGGACCAACAGGCCAGTTGGTCCAACCGGTCCATCGGACCAACAGGCCAGTTGGTCCAACCGGTCCATCGGACCAACAGGCCAGTTGGTCCAACCGGTCCATCGGACCAACAGGCCAGTTGGTCCAACCGGTCCATCGGACCAACAGGCCAGTTGGTCCAACCGGTCCATCGGACCAACAGGCCAGTTGGTCCAACCGGTCCATCGGACCAACAGGCCAGTTGGTCCAACCGGTCCATCGGACCAACAGGCCAGTTGGTCCAACCGTCCATTCGGACCAACAGGCCAGTTGGTCCAACCCGGTCCATGACCAACAGGCCAGATGGTCCAACCGGTCCATCGGACCAACAGGCCAGATGGTCCAACCGGTCCATCGGACCAACAGGCCAGTTGGTCAACCGGTCCATCGGACCAACAGGCCAGTTGGTCCAACCGGTCCATCGGACCAACAGGCCAGTTGGTCCAACGGGTCCATCGGACCAACAGGCCAGTTGGTCCAACCGGTCCACTCGGACCAACAGGCCAGTTGGTCCAACCGGTCCATCGGACCAACAGGCCCGTTGGTCCAACCGGTCATCGGGACCAACAGGCCAGATGTCCAACCGGTCCATCGGACCAACAGGCAGTTGGTCCAACCGGTCCATCGGACCAACAGGCCAGATGGTCCAACCGGTCCATCGGACCACAGGCCAGTTGGTCCAACCGGTCCATCGGACCAACAGGCCAGATGGTCCAACCGGTCCATCGGACCAACAGGCCAGTTGGGTCCAACCGGTCCATCGGACCAACAGGCCAGATTGGTCCAACCGGTCCATCGGACCAACAGGCCAGTTGGTCCAACCGGTCCATCGGACCAACAGGCCAGTTGGTCCAACCGGTCCATCGGACCAACAGGCCAGATTGGTCCAACCGGTCCATCGGACCAACAGGCCAGTTGGTCCAACCGGTCCATCGGACCAACAGGCCTAGTTGGTCCAACCGGTCCATCGGACCAACAGGCCAGTTGGTCCAACCGGTCCATCGGACCAACAGGCCAGTTGGTCCAACCGGTCCATCGGACCAACAGGCCAGATTGGTCCAACCGGTCCATCGGACCAACAGGCCAGTTGGTCCAACCGGTCCATCGGACCAACAGGCCAGTGGTCCAACCGGTCCATCGGACCAACAGGCCAGTTGGTCCAACGGTCCATCGGACCAACAGGCCAGTTGGTCCAACCGGTCCATCGGACCAACAGGCCAGTTGGTCCAACCGGTCCATCGGACCAACAGGCCAGATGGTCCAACCGGTCCATCGGACCAACAGGCCAGTTGGTCCAACCGGTCCATCGGACCAACAGGCCAGTTGGTCCAACCGGTCCATCGGACCAACAGGCCAGTTGGTCCAACCGGTCCATCGGACAACAGGCCAGTTGGTCCAACCGGTCCATCGGACCAACAGGCCAGTTGGTCCAACCGGTCCATCGGACCAACAGGCCAGTTGGTCAAACGGTCCATCGGACCAACAGGCCAGTTGGTCCAACCGGTCCATCGGACCAACAGGCCAGATGGTCCAACCGGTCCATCGGACCAACAGGCCAGATTGGTCCAACCGGTCCATCGGACCAACAGGCCAGTGGTCCAAACGGTCCATCGGACCAACTAGGCCAGTTGGTCCAACCGGTCCATCGGACCAACAGGCCAGATTGGTCCAACCGGTCCATCGGACCAACAGGCCAGTTGGTCCAACCGGTCCATCGGACCAACAGGCCAGTTGGTCCAACCGGTCCATCGGACCAACAGGCCAGATTGGTCCAACCGGTCCATCGGACCAACAGGCCAGATTGGTCCAACCGGTCCATCGGACCAACAGGCCAGATTGGTCCAACCGGTCCATCGGACCAACAGGCCAGTTGGCTCCAACCGGTCCATCGGACCAACAGGCCAGTTGGTCCCAACCGGTCCATCGGACCAACAGGCCAGTTGGTCCAACCGGTCCATCGGACCCAACAGGCCAGATGGTCCAACCGGTCCATCGGACCAACAGGTAGTTGGACCAACGGTCCATCGGACCAACAGGCCAGTTGGTCCAAACCGGTCCATCGGACCAACAGGCCGTGGTCCAACCGGTCCATCGGACCAACAGGCCAGATGGTCCAACCGGTCCATCGGACCAACAGGCCAGTTAGGTCCAACCGGTCCATCGGACCAACAGGCCAGATGGTCCAACCGGTCCATCGGACCAACAGGCCAGTTGGTCCAAACGGGTCCATCGGCACCAACAGGCCAGTGGTCCAACGGTCCATGGACCAACAGGCCAGTGGTCCCAACCGGTCCATCGGACCAACAGGCCAGTTGGTCCAACCGGTCCATCGGACCAACAGGCCAGATGGTCCAACCGTCCATCGGACCAACAGGCCAGTATGTCCAACCGCGTCCATCGGACCAACAGGCCAGTGGTCCAACCGGTCCATCGGACCAACAGGCCAGTTGGTCCCACGGTCCATCGACCAACAGGCCAGTTGGTCCAACCGGTCCATCGGACCAACAGGCCAGTTGGTCCAACCGGTCCATCGGACCAACAGGGCCTGTTGGTCCAACCGGTCCATCGGACCAACAGGCCAGTGGTCCAACCGGTCCATCGGACCAACAGGCCAGTTGGTCCAACCGGTCCATCGGACCAACAGGCCAGTTGGTCCAACCGGTCCATCGGACCAACAGGCCAGTTGGTCCAACCGGTCCATCGGACCAACAGGCAGTTGGTCCACCGGTCCATCGGACCAACAGGCCAGATTGGTCCAACCGGTCCATCGGACCAACAGGCCAGATTGGTCCAACCGGTCCATCGGACCAACAGGCCAGTTGGTCCAACCGGTCCATCGGACCAACAGGCCAGATGGTCCAACCGGTCCATCGGACCAACAGGCCAGTTGGTACCAACGGTCCATCGGACCAACAGGCCAGATGGTCCAACCGGTCCATCGGACCACAGGCCAGTGGTCCAACCGGTCCATCGGACCAACAGGCCAGTTGGTCCAACCGGTCCATCGGACCAACAGGCCAGTTGGTCCAACCGGTCCATCGGACCAACAGGCCAGATGGTCCAACCGGTCCATCGGACCAACAGGCCAGTTGGTCCAACCGGTCCATCGGACCAACAGGCCAGTGGTCCAACCGGTCCATCGGACCAACAGGCCAGTTGGTCCAACCGGTCCATCGGACCAACAGGCCAGTTGGTCCAACCGGTCCATCGGACCAACAGGCCAGTTGGTCCAACCGGTCCATCGGACCAACAGGCCAGTTGGTCCAACCGGTCCATCGGACCAACAGGCCAGTTGGTCCAACCGGTCCATCGGACCAACAGGCCAGTTGGTCCAACCGGTCCATCGGACCAACAGGCCAGTTGGTCCAACCGGTCCATCGGACCAACAGGCCAGTTGGTCCAACCGGTCCATCGGACCAACAGGCCAGTTGGTCCAACCGGTCCATCGGACCAACAGGCCAGTTGGTCCAACCGGTCCATCGGACCAACAGGCCAGTTGGTCCAACCGGTCCATCGGACCAACAGGCCAGTTGGTCCAACCGGTCCATCGGACCAACAGGCCAGTTGGTCCAACCGGTCCATCGGACCAACAGGCCAGTTGGTCCAACCGGTCCATCGGACCAACAGGCCAGTTGGTCCAACCGGTCCATCGGACCAACAGGCCAGTTGGTCCAACCGGTCCATCGGACCAACAGGCCAGTTGGTCCAACCGGTCCATCGGACCAACAGGCCAGTTGGTCCAACCGGTCCATCGGACCAACAGGCCAGTTGGTCCAACCGGTCCATCGGACCAACAGGCCAGTTGGTCCAACCGGTCCATCGGACCAACAGGCCAGTTGGTCCAACCGGTCCATCGGACCAACAGGCCAGTTGGTCCAACCGGTCCATCGGACCAACAGGCCAGTTGGTCCAACCGGTCCATCGGACCAACAGGCCAGTTGGTCCAACCGGTCCATCGGACCAACAGGCCAGTTGGTCCAACCGGTCCATCGGACCAACAGGCCAGTTGGTCCAACCGGTCCATCGGACCAACAGGCCAGTTGGTCCAACCGGTCCATCGGACCAACAGGCCAGTTGGTCCAACCGGTCCATCGGACCAACAGGCCAGTTGGTCCAACCGGTCCATCGGACCAACAGGCCAGTTGGTCCAACCGGTCATCGGACCAACAGGCCAGGTTGGTCCAACCGGTCCATCGGACCAACAGGCCAGTTGGTCCAACCGGTCCACGGACCAACAGGGCCAGATGGTCCACCGATCCACGGACCAACAGCCAGATGTTCCAACCGGTCATCGGACCAACAGGCCAGTTGGTCCCAACCGGTCCATCGGACCAACAGGCCAGTTGTTCCAACGGTCCATCGGACCAACAGGCCAGTTGGTCCAAGGTCATGGACCAACAGGCAGATGGTTCCAAACCGGTCCATCGGACCAACAGGCCAGTTGGTCCAACCGGTCCATCGGACCAACAGGCCAAGATGGTCCAACCGGTCCATCGGACCAACAGGCCAGATGGTCCAACCGGTCCATCGGACCAACAGGCTAGTTGGACCAACCGGTCCATCGGACCAACAGCCAGTTGGTCCAACCGGTCCATCGGACCAACAGGCCAGTTGGTCCAACCGGTCCATCGGACCAACAGGCCAGATGGTCCAACCGGTCCATCGGACCAACAGGCCTTAGTTGGCCAACCGCGTCCATCGAACAAAGGCAATGGTCCAACCGGTCCATCGGACCAACAGGCTAGTTGGACCAACCGGTCCATCGGACCAACAGGCCAGTTGGTCCAACCGGGTCCATCGGACCAACAGGCCAGTTGGTCCAACCGGTTCCATCGGACCAACAGGCCAGATGGTCCAACCGGTCCATCGGACCAACAGGCCAGTTGGTCCAACCGGTCCATCGGACCAAACAGGCCAGTTGGTCCAACCGGGTCCATCGGACCACAGGCCAGTGGCTCCAACCGGTCCATCGGACCAACAGGCCAGTGGTCCAACCGGGTCCATCGGACCAACAGGCCAGATGGTCCAACCGGTCCATCGGACCAAACAGGCAGTTGGTCCCAACCGGTCCATCGGACCAACAGGCCAGTGGTCCAACCGGTCCATCGGACCAACAGGCCAGTTGGTCCAACCGGTCCATCGGACCAACAGGCCAGCTGGTCCAACCGGTCCATCGGACCAACAGGCCAGTTGGTCCAACCGGTCCATCGGACCAACAGGCCAGATGGTCCAACCGGTCCATCGGACCAAACAGGCCAGTTGGTCCAACCGGTCCATCGGACCAACAGGCCAGTGGTCCAACCGGTCCATCGGACCAACAGGCCTAGTTGGTCCAACCGGTCCATCGGACCAACAGGCCAGTTGGTCCAACCGGTCCATCGGACCAACAGGCCAGTTGGTCCAACCGGTCCATCGGACCAACAGGCCAGTCATTTGGGGTCCAACCGGTCCATCGGACCAACAGGCCAGTTGGTTCCAACCGGTCCATCGGACCAACAGGCCAGTTGGTCCAACCGGTCCATCGGACCAACAGGCCAGTTGGTCCAAGCCGGTCCATCGGACCAACAGGCCAGTGGTCCAACCGGTCCATCGGACCAACAGGCCAGATTGGTCCAACCGGTCCATCGGACCAACAGGCCAGTTGGTCCAACCGGTCCATCGGACCAACAGGCCAGTTGGTCCAACCGGTCCATTCGACCAACAGGCCAGTTGGTCCAACCGGTCCATCGGACCAACAGGCCAGTTGGTCCAACCGGTCCATCGGACCAACAGGCCAGTTGGTCCAACCGGTCCATC